ACTCCCTCTGCAGAAGGGCTGAGGTTTAGGCAAGGTCCACTCTTTCCCGTCTCATGGCATTAACATTCCTATGCCCCCTAGGTGTCATTTTGCCAGCCTGGCTTGTTCTCCAGGGTTGGGGGGCTCCCAGTGGTCGGCAGTTCTGGCAGTGTGTCCCTGCCCTCTACTCACTGCCATGTGATCTTGGGCAAGCCATGCCTCCTCTTTCAGACTCAGTTTCTTCATCTGTGAAGTGAAACCTCATGCTCCCCACCCCCGGATCCGAGATGCTGGAGGAGTCCCTCAATAGGAAGCCCCATATCTGTCCCTAGGTGGGGAATTCTGGGCCTCGCAGCTCGGAGGAGCTGCTGACGGCCTCCGGCTCTTGTTGTGCACCCCGGGGTACAGGGCCTTGCCCCCCCAACTCTTGACCCTCCAACAGCAATGAAGCCAAGCCCCAAATACTCCACTTGTTTCTTTTTATTTGGTGTTGGATCCAGGACAAGGGCAGTGGGGAATTGAAGCAGGGGCTTCCCTAGCTTCATATGCCCCAGGCCTCCTCGCCTCTGGAATGTACCAACGAGGGGCAGAGGTTTCAGGGGGCTTAGCCTCTTCACAGGGCCGTCCTCAGCCCTGGGTTTGTCACAGTCTGGCCTTGAACTTGCCTTTGGCCTTGACTTTCTTATGGGTGGTAGGAATTGTTCCAACTTCAAAGGGCAGAGGCAACAACGCACTTCCAGGTGGTGGCCTCGGAGGCACAGGGGAGCAGGAGCCTCGATGTGAAAGGAGGGGAGAAGAGGGAGATGATCAAGAGTCTGTTGAGGAAGAGGCTTCTGAGGGAGACAAGCTCTTCCCTTGGGGTACCAGCCAGCCTGGGAGCTGCACTCTGCCTGTGCCCTCCAGCCCTGACCCCGTGCTCAGCACTGCCCACTGGGTGTGAGTCACAGTTCAAGGCCCACCTTTCTTAGCTTCAGGATGCTGGGTGCCACCTTGAGATCAAGGTTAGGTGGGAAGGAAATGAAGACCTTGGCCGTGGGTAGAGTCCTCAAGGCCTTGCCTGTGATCGACAGGGCCTTAGTGCCCACCAGTTTGCTGTGCTGTCGTCTGAGGACCTGGCCCTGGTGTCGGAGTACGTGGGGAGAAGGCAGCTGGGCCTTGGTGTGGAGGCTGGGGAAGTGGTGAGGGGCTGTGGGAGCAAAAGAAACTGTGAGGGCCTGGTGAGGCCCCAAGGTGGCCCAGCTGCCCTAAACAGTGTGTGTGGAGGACAGGGAGATGTGGAGGGGGTGGGGTAAGGGCAGATGGAGACCTCCCAGTTCCTCCTCCAGAGGCAGTGAGAAGAACACAAGGCGGAGTCCAACAGACCTGGGTCTGCATCCCAGCTCTGCCCCTTCTGAGCTGTGCAACCTTGGGCAACTTCCAACTTCCTGATACCTCGGCTGGAAAATGGGGATAATAGCACCTACCTTGCTAGGTTGGTGTGAGGCCTAAAGGAGCTGGGTAGGTAGCAACATGGGGCAAACTGTTAAGTGCTGGACACATGTTAGTTCTTTTCCCCAGAGGTGACTCTGCTTGGATGCAAAGGCAGAATACTGCAGTGGGAAAGCATGGGCGCTGGAGAGAGCAACGTGGGCTTGAGTCCTGGCATCTCTGAAACAAGGATAACTGCCTTGCAGAGTGACTACTCTGGAGGACACAATACTTATTTTGCCAAGTGGTTCTTTTTTTTTTTTTTTTGAGATGGAGTTTTGCTCTTGTTCCCCAGAGTGGAGTGCAGTGGTGCAATCTTGAGTCACTGCAACCTTCTTTTCCCAGGTTCAAGCAATTCTCATGCCTCAGCCTCCGGAGTAGCTGGGATTATAGGTGGCTGCCACCACACCTAGCTAATTTTTGTATTCTTTAGTAGAGATGGGGTTTCACCATGTTGCCCAGGCTGGTCTCAAACTCCTGACCTCAGGTGATCCACCTGCCTCAGCCTCCCAAAGTGCTTTTTGTTTGTTTGTTTGTTTGTTTGAATACAGCATCTCGCTCTGTCTCCCAGACTGGAGTGCAGTGGTGTGATCATAACTCACTGTACCCTGGACCTCCCCAGGCTCAAGTGATCCTCCCGTCTTAGCCCCCCAAGTAGCTGGGACCACAGGCTCACACCACAATGCCCAGCTAATTTAGCTGTGTATTTTTAAAGAATACTTTGTGAGCAGTGGCTTTTACTTGCTACTGGAGGCTCTTTGGTGGGAAGGCTGATCCAGGTGGTTGGAAGGAGCCTACAGAGCAGGTAAATTGCCTTGGGACCCTCGGGTGTTTTGGGGGAATGGTCTTACCCAGGGTCTGGGGGTTTTTCGGACTCAGTGGCAATCTGTTCAAGGGGTGGGGTTGCCTGTCCCCACTAGAAAAGGTCATGGTGAAAATGCACCCCAACCTGATGCTGGTGAGATCCCATTCCCGGAGATTGGGGCAGACCAGGGCTGTGGTACTTTTTGCCTTGCCTTTCTTCCCCTTTCCGGGGTCTGAAGTGGTGGCAGTGGAGTCTGGCTTCTCACTGTGCTCCAGGCTCCTGGCCCCAGCATCTTTCCTAGAAGCTGACCTGTGGGTAGGGGTCCCCGAGTCCTTGCCTTCCCCAGAGCTTCGCTGGGTCAGCAGGGGGAGTGCTGGGCGGATCCCCATCCGCCGATGACACATCGCCATGGGCTTCTTGATGGTGGAGCCCTCTACCAGGAGCTGGATGCCCACGTATCGGGGCACATCCACAGCAGGCTGTGGGCAAGAAGAGGAGACAAGGCCTACTCAGTGGTGCTGGAATCCTTAGCCCAGCGGGACCCAGGGCAGAGACAGGTAGAATTACTTTCTGAGGCACCTGGTCAAAAAGACATTTCTGAGCTGAGAAATGGAAAGCCCACCTCTGAGTCAGTACCTGGAGTCACAGAGCTCCAGGGATTGCCAGCCCAGAGGAATGGAGGAATCCTAGCCATGCCCCACCAGCATCCCTCCACCACACTGTCCTCCTAAGCTGCCCCCATCCCCTGCTGGAATGTGTGTGGCTCTGCTGCATAGGCCGCCGCTGGTGCACAGCTTCCTGAGCTGAGCCAATCAGATTCTCTGCACAGGGAATTTTAGTTATGCCACTCAGACAGGTAAGAGGCTTGGAGCCTGCCTAGAGCCTCGTGTGAACGCAGGTTATGGGGAAGCAAAAATTAAGAACCTTAAAGAAGACAGTCTGTGGAAAGAATGAAGTACCGAATATGCAGAGGAAGGCAGTGAGACAGGTCCAAGAGAGGAGCTCCCTTACAACTCTCAGTTCCTATCAGGCCAAGTTGTATGTCCTGCCCTCAGTTGGGCTCCAGGAGAGCTCCCTGTGCCTTGCCAGCAACCTGGAGCTAGTTGGAGGTGTCTTCTGTGCCACTGAAGGATCCTGATCAGAATCTATCTAAACATCAGAATTATTTGGAGCTTGTTAAAAATACAGCTATCAGCCAGGCACAATGGTCACATCTGTAATCCCAGCACTTTGGGAGGCTAAGGCTGGCAGATCACCTGAGGTGAGGAGTTTGAGACCAGCCTGGCCAACATGGCGAAACCCTGTCTCCACTAAAAACACAAAACAATTAGCTGGGCATGGTGGCAGTCACCTGTAATCCCAGCTACTCAGGAAGCTGAGAAAGGAGAATCGCTTGAACCCAGGAGGTGGAGCTTGCAGTGGGCCCAGATGGTACCATTGCATCCAGCCTGGGCAACAAGAGTGAAACTCCATCTCAAAATAATAATAATAATAATAATAATACAGCTATCACCAGGTGCAGTGGCTATGCCTATAATCCCAGAACTTTGGGAGGCCGAGGTGGGTGGATCACCTGAGTTCAGGAGTGATCATGACCTCATGTTGACCAGCCTGCTCAACATGGTAAAACCCCATCTCTACTAAAAACACAAAAATTATCCAGGTGTGGTGGGCACCTGTAATCACAGCTACTCAGGATCTGAGAAGGAGAATCACTTGAACCCAGGAGACAGAGATTGCAGTGAGCAGAGATAGTGCCACTGTACTCCAGCCTGGGTGACACAGTGAGACTCTGTCTCAAAAAAGAAATAAATAAATAAAAATACAGCTATCAGGACTCCCGAGTAGCCCCAGATGATGAGAGAAAGCTCATCTTTACAGAAGAATCTCAGCTAATAAATGCAGAAGAAACAACAGAATTAGACATTTGCTGTTTTGCAACTCCAATAAAATAGGCAGTAATCAAAACTGGTATCAAAACAATTAGATAAAAGGATGACAGGAAAATGTATAATCTGTAACAGCCAACACATTACCTTACAAAAAAATTAATTGCAAAGGGTAGATGTAGCTTTTATCATGGAGAGCTCTGGTAGCCACCACTGTAACCCAGAGTCAAACTCAGCAGCACTAACCGTGAGACACAGGATGTGCCTTGTGATGCCACATGACATATCCGGCATCACCTCTGAAGTGCTCTTCCCAGAAATGTTTAACCTGAACTCATCAAGCTGTTTGACCTAACTAATAATTTCTGAGACAATCAGCTAACAGAAGACCAAGGTAAATAACACCATAAGGAAACAATCGGATAAATCCAGAACGTGGGACAGTTCTACAGAACAACCAGCCTGGCCCCTCAAAAGATCAAAACTATGGGGACAAAAGACACTGGGGCTGGCCTAGATGAAAAGAGACAAAAAAGTGCAAGATGTGAGCCTTCATTATGTGCTGGCCTAAAGAACAAATCAGCAATAAAAAACATTTAGGGGGCTGGGCGCAGTGGCCCATGCCTGTATTCCCAGCACTTTGCAGGGGCCGAAGCAGGAGGATCACTTGAGGTCCAGAGTTCAAGACTGGCCTGGCCAACATGGTAAAACCCCATTTCTACTAAAAATACAAAAGTTAGCCAGGCATGGTTGTGGGTGCCTATAGTCCCAGCTACTCAAGAGGCTGAGGCAAGAGAATCACTTGAACCTGGGAGGTGGAGGTTGCAGAGCCAAGATCACACCATTGCACTCCAGCCTGGGTGACAGAGTGAGACTCTGTCTCAAAAAAAAAAAGATATTTGGGAGTCATTTGAAAAATGCAGATGCGTAGTCTCCTTCCCAAGCTAGACATTTTGGATTTGGGGTCAATCTCTGGGGTGGAGCCCCCTGACATCCATAGCAGCTTTCAGCTGCTTCTGGCCTGGGCACTGGCATTGGGAGCACTGCACTACAATGGCACCTTTTCCCTCAGCTTGCCTGTGTAATTCCCCATTTACATTTTTTGAAACCAGAATGCCAGTATACTAATTTAAGAAATGATCTATAACTGTAATAAACACAAGATCTTTATTACACTTACGCGTGATCATTACGTTCTCTTCCTGTAACCAAACCTTGACAGAAGCCAAATGCTAATCAGAAGCCACTTAAACTGCCACAAGAAATTCTATCCAGAGCTTAGAAAGCCTTGAAATCAATTTTCTAATTTTTTAAAATGCTGTTCTATTTTACAAGTAGATTCCAATCTCTTTTTGGAGCAAGATGAGTGAAATAATGATAATAATAATAATGGTAGCTACCAGTAATTGCCTATTACTATATATCTAGGCACTTGCCAGGTTATGCATGATGAAACTCCTAACCTCATTAGGTAATAACAACAATAACTAACACTTATTAGCATTTACTATATGCCAGGCACTATTCTAAAGTACTTTACGGGCTGGGCGAGGTGGCTCCTGCCTGTAATCCCAGCACTTTGGGAGGCCGAGGTGGATGGATCACCTGAATTTAGGAGTTCGAGACCAGCCTGGCCAACAGAGCAAAACCCTGTCTCTACTAAAAATACAAAAATTAGCCAGGTGTGGTGGCGGATACCTGTAATTTCAGCTACTTGGGAGGCTGAGGCAGGAGAATTGCTTGAACCCGGGAGGTGGAGGTTGCAATGAGCCAAGATTATGCCAGTGCACTCCCACCTGGGCAACAGAGTGAGACTCTGTGTCAAAAGTAAATAAATAAAAATGAAGTACTTTACTTATCAACTCATTTAATTCATACAACTCATAGTATCTAACTTTGAGAATTAGGTACTATTTTTATTCTTACAGATGAGGAAACCCAGGGGTTAGGAACTTGTCCAAAGTCACACAGCTCGTTGTCACTGAACAGGAATTTGAACCCAAGGAGGTTCCAGAGTCTCTGCTCTTAGGACTATGTTATATGCCTCTCTAGAAATATTATCCACATATACTAATTCATTTTATTCTCCCATCCCCATGAGAAAGATGGTAATAATATCCCCATTTCAAAGATTAGGAGCCTGAGGCTCAGGGAGGTGAGGTCACCTTAGCAGGACCAGGACTTGAATCTGGGTCTTAAACTGGGTCTGACTGCAGAGCCCTATGCTCTAGTATGGGGCTGCCTGAAATAGGGCACAGACTCTCTGGGGTTCTGCCTGGGTCCGACCTCCTCACCTGTTTATAGATGAGCTCAAAGGCTCCTGTGTCACAGTTGCGGTCCAGCCGCCGGTCAATGACGACGCGCAGGGTGTCAGCTTGCACGCCAGCACAGAGCCGGGCGGTGACTGCCGTGGAGGGTGCCATGGTGGGGCTGGCATTGATTTCAATCAGCCAGGGCTGGAAGTCCTCCCCGAACACAAAGTCAGCGCCATAGAGCTCAAAGCTGGCCTTCCGACACTGCACAGTGTCCTGGGAGGTCTGAAGTGCATGGATCACGGCATTCTTCATGCCAGGCACGATGATGGTGGACCAAGCATTTGGGGCCCCCATCTCCTGCAGGTGAGCCTGGAACCTCTGGCTGGACCACATGTTGTCTGGAGGCAGCAGTGGATGCCGATGGCACGAGTTCTCCAGGTGCTTCTGGATGGAGTTGTTGCACAGGTGTACTGAGCTGGGGCAGAGAGCAGAAAGCTGAGATCCAGGCCCTTGTGCCCCTCTCATCCAAGCTCAGGGAGGACAGGCAAATCCTGGAACCAGCCCTGGGCCACCCTGCACTGTTCAACTTGAGATGGGGCCCTACTGGGAAGGACAAAAAGGACAGAGGCCTGGGCCCCACCACATTCTTCTAAGGCCAGAACCACTCTTATCTTTCAGGGCTGCTCTGAGGGCGTCAATTACAGGAGCCACAGTACTAAGTGCTTTGTGCATAGTCTCAGTTAACCATCCCAGTGCTTGGAAGATGAGAGGGTGGGTAAGGGTATGCTCTATCATCACCAGGATGCCATCTCCACACTAGTTGTGAGATCTTAGGCACGTCATCTAACCTGCATGCTCTTCACATCTGCAAAATGGGGGTAGTAACAGTACCCACTTCATTGTGTTTTTTTTTTCTTCAGACCTGGTGAACAGGAAGTATTCATTGGGTTCTTATGAAGAATGAGATAACGTATACAAAGTGCTCAGCACTATCACATATGAAGCACTCAATAATTGGCAGCTATGAGTTTCATACTACTGCCTCCCTTCTTCAGATGTGGAAACTGAGACTTAAATAGGTTTTCATATGACCCAGAGTCAAACAACTTGGAAGCTGTAGAAACAGAATTCGAATTTAGGCTTCAAGGCTTTCTCTCACCCCAGAAGTTAACACAACATCTTGCCTTTCAAAACTCCTGACGTCCTTTCCCCTGCTCTACATTTGCTTCCCTTTTCCCAATGACACATATAATCCTTTAACCTGTTAGAGAATTTCACTTGTATTCATTGCTTCTCTGTTTCTCCCTGCTAGAATGTACCCTTGAGAGTGGGGATCTTGTTTTGTTCACTGCTATATCCCAAGTGCCCAGAACAGTAATGGCACAGGGTACACACTCAGTCAAATCTGTTGGAGGGACCAGGCACAGTGTAATCCCAGTAATTTGGGAAGCCGAGGTGGGACGATCACTTAAGCCCAGGAGTTTGAGACCAGCCTGGGCAACATAGTGAGACCTCATCTCTACATAAAAAAATTTAAAAGTCAGCTGTGGTACATGCCTGTGATCTCAACTACTTAGAAGGCTGCAGAGGAAGGATTGCTTGAGCACAGGAGGTCGAGGCTGCAGTAAGCCATGACCATGCCACTGCGCTCCAGCCTAGGCAACAGAGTGAGACTGCCCATCTGTTAAAAAAAAAAAAAAAAAAAAAAAAAAAAAAAAACCTGTTGGATGCAAGGACAGCTGGCTGGATGAGGGCACCCGCCTGCCTGCAGCATGTGTATGGAGCCCACCACTGCTACACAAGTCCCTTGCACTGTAACCGCCTGTTTGCTTGCCAGCTCCCCAACTAGGCAGGGAGCTCGTGGGAGGTGAGCAGTGGGGCTCACTTGTCCAGTTTCTTCAGGGAGAATGGCTGCGTGGAAAAGCGGAGATAGCTGTCACGGTAGAACCACACAGTAAGTGGGTTCCAGTCAGTTACCAGGAACCACTGTCTCAGGTCAAACTTGGTGCCAAAGATGAGCAGGGGCCGCTCAATATACTTTTGTACCACCCATTTGCTGTCCTTCATCATCATGGGGTTGCCGTTCACCAGCTTCAGCATCTCCTCCAGGTGGTCCATGCACATGATGCCTATGCCGGAAAAGAGCAGTCAGGAATTGGGAGGTCAGGCGTGGGCTGGGAGAAGGGCCAGCTTGTCATGAGCTCTCATCCACAGAGCTGACAGGGCTGCATGGGTAAGGCTGCCTCCCTCAATTAGAACCCAGTTCCCTTTGGAAAAGCCAGGAATTTGCTAAGGATTTTAAATTTTTCCTAATTAACCAGTTTTGTTTGATTAAACAGGAATATGTACCTGAATAAAAATTTAAAGTGTTGGACTTTTTTGTTTTTTAGTTTTTGAGATGGAGTCTCCCTCTGTCATCCAGGCTGGAGTGCAATGGCATGAGCTCAGTTCAATGCAACCTCTGCCTCCTGGGTTCAAGTGATTCTCCTCCCTCAGCTTCCCAAGTGGCTGGGATTACAGGTGCCTGCCACCACGCCAGGCTAAGTTTTTTATTTTTAGTAGAGACAGGGTTTCACCATGTTGGCTAGGCAGGTCTCCAACTCCTGACCTCAAGTGATCCTCCTGCCTCAGGGTCCCAAAGTGCTAGGATTACAAGTGTGAGCCACTGCACCTGGTCAGCGTTGGGCTTTTTAAAAGCATGTGCACATATTGCTTTCCCACCAATAATAAACAGACTATAAAACCAAAAATTAGACAGTACAAAAGGGCATACAATAACAAGTACATCTCCTTGTCCAGAGGCAGCCAACTGCTGCTTCCAGGTCCTTACGATATCCTTCCGGGTCACGTGAGAGTCTACACGTGCTCAGTTTCCTTGCATTGTATAAATTAAAGCATGTTAAGGATTTGGAATAGTGCTTTAGATGCATGACTGCATTTACTCCTCACCTCACAGGAGGTATTATCATCCTCTTTATTTCACAGATGAGGTGATATAACCTGCTAAAGGTCATGAAGAATATTAATAGTAGAGCTGGGACTCAAACCCAAGCAATTTGGCTTCAATAAGCCTGCACTATTCACTTCCTTGGCCTCTAGTGGAAGATGCAGGTTGTGGGGTACCAATGCAGGAAGTAGGAGCTGACCCCCACCTCGTCCGCGAGACTTGGCTCCTGGTTTCACGATCCAGATGTTGCGATCCCCTTCCATGTTTATCTGGGGTACCACAGCCCGCAGCTGCTGCAGGATGTCCTCACAGTGCTGGACCTGAGTGTCGTGGTGCCTGAGTTCTGCCCCTTCACTGTGGAGAAATGATGGAGCTTGGGACATGTGGGTGGAGAGGGGAAGGGGAGACATAGCCCACCACCCCCACCATCATCCAGGCAGCCTTAGTCACCCCTCCCTGCAGATCTTGATAGGTCCCTCCCAAGCCTCCAGCCCCACCCTCAAGCCACCCCTGAAATCCTAACCTGCCCAGACTACAGGAATCAGAAAGGTTGATAAAATTCCATTTACCACACCCCCTATTCCAACACTCCACCTGTGCCACCCCCTTCCTATTAATTAAAACTGTCTTTGACAGAAATTAATCATTCCAGTTCCTAATGATAGAGCACCACTATGTGCCAGGCACTGTGTGACAAGCACATTCCATATATTATCACTAATCCTCTCACGGCCCCACTGCTGATACCTGTCCCCCAACCCCAGACTTTTTTTTTTTTTTTGAGACAGGGTCCTGCTCTGTCACCCAGGCTGGAGTGCAATGATGTAATCATGGCTCACTGCAGCCAGGAACTCCTGGGTCCAACTCTCAGCCTCCCAAGTAGTTGGAACTACAGGCATGCACCACCACACCCAGGCTAATTTTTTTTTTTTGCAGAGATGGGTCTTACATTACCTAGGCTGGTCTTGAACTCCTGGCCTCAGGCAATCCTCCTACCTCAGCCTTCCAAAGTGCTGGGATTACAGGCATGAGCTACCACATCCAGCCCTGGTCCCATTTTAGAGAAATATAAACTGGGCCAGGTGCAGTGGCTCATGCCTGTAATCCCAGCAGCACTTTGGAAGGCCAAGGTGGGCAGATCAGGAGCTTGAGGCCAGCCTGGCCAACATGGCAAACCCCCATCTCTACTAAAAATACAAAAATTAGCCAGGTGTGGTGGCGTGTGCCTGTAATCCCAGCTACTCAGGAGGCTGAGGCAAGAGAATTGCTTGAACCCAAGAGGCAGAGGTTGCAGTGAGCCAAGACTGCGCCACTGCACTCCAGCCTGGGCAATAGAGCAAGACTCCATCTCAAAAAAAAAAAAAAAAAAAAAAAAAAAGAAAAGAAAAGAAAGAAAAAGAAAAAGAAAAAGAAAAGAAAAGCAAACTGAAGCTTTGAGAGTTAAGGGACTTACCCAAGGCCATACACTGAGAGTTGAATGGTTCTGCCGGGATTCAAACTCTGTCCTGTCTGATTCCTTCACCTATAGGTGCTTTTTGGGGTTCATTCCCCTCTTAAATCTGGGCCTAACATTGGCTGATACAATGTTAAACTAATTTCTTTCAAGCACATCTGTATCACACCTTTTCTTGTTGTTTTCTCCTCATCATTTACCCTCACCTGACACATCTGCTTATTTGGTAATTGTCTGAATCCCCTAACTAGAATGTAAACTCCATAAGAGCAGGAACATTTTTCGTAGTTGTTCTCTGCTCTATTCCCCATCCCCAAGCACCACACCTGGCACTCAGCAGGTGCTCCCTAAAAGTTTGCTCAATGAATGAATGGCTGCCTCAGCAAGTACTTTGGCAGGAGCTTGCCTCAGCAACTGGACTGCACAGACAGGGGTTCATGAACAAAGAGGGACAGAAAACGTCCTGTTCTCTACAGGACAGAAAACGTCCTGAACTAAACCAAGTCACAAAATATCCCAGATCGTGTCTGATCCAGACTCTCCCATTTCTTTTCTTCTGACTGAATAGGACAGGAGTCTCCTATTCAGAGGAAGCTAACTCTGTGATACTTTTACATCTTGAATGTTACCAGTTGTGGAAAACTTGCTCTTTTTTAAGAAGGCAGCAGCAGTCATTGGGGCAGTGCCAGGAACAGGGACAGCCAGATGCAGGGGGCTTGGCAAGGTCTCCCAGGGGTACTCACACTTAACATCCTGAAAAAAATTCTCTGTGGCCCATAGCATGAAGTATCTACTCAGTACAGTAGTCTGTGATGTGGCCCAGAAAAATGTCACACAGGAGTGGCAGGAGCACGTGTAATTTGAAAAAGTATATTCGACATGACAATATGATTTTATAGTTAGCGAAAAGAAAAAACACCAGTATTTTAATGAAAAGTCAGCCTTGATGAAAACCTGGCTGGCTTAGTTCTTAAAATCCAGTATTAGAAAAACAACAACTGGCTGGGGAGGCAAAGATATTTTTGTCTGTTTGTTTTTGAGATGGATTCTTTTTTTTTGATATGGAGTCTCCTGTCTCAGCCTACCGAGTAGCTGGGACTATAGGCATACACCACCATGCCCAGTATTTTTAGTAAAGATGGGGTTTCAGCATATTGGCCAGGCTGGTCTCGAACTCCTGACTTCATGATCCACCCACCTCAGCCTCCCAAAGTGCTGGGATTACAGGTGTGAGCCACCATGCCCAGCGGATTTGTTTGTTTTTTTTTTTTTTTAAATTGAGAAGCATAACCGTAAATATTGAATGGATCAGGCTGGGTGCAGTGGCTCACGTCTGTAATCCCAGCACTTTGGGAGGCCAAGATGTGGGGAGTGTTTGAGCTCAGGAGTTCAAGACCAGCCTGGTCAATGTGGTAAAACCATGTCTTTACAAATATACATATATATATATCACACTAAGCACACTAAGATTAGCTAGGCCTGGTGGCACATACCCATAATCCTAGCTACTCAGAAGGCTGAAGTGGGAGAATCACTTGAGCCTGGGAGGCAAAGGTTGCGGTGAGACAAGACTGCACCACTGCACTCCAGCCTCTGTCTCAAAAAAATAGAAATAAAATATTGCCGGGTGTGGTGGCTCACACCTGTAATCCCAGCACTTTAGGAGGCCAAGGTGGGCGAATCACCTGAAGTCAGGAGTACAAGACCAGCCTGACCAACATGGAGAAACCCCGTCTCTTCTAAAAACATAAAATTAGCTAGGCATGGTGGCACATGCCTGTAATCCCAGTACTTTAGGAGGCCAAGGTGGGTGAATCACCTGAAGTTAGGAGTATGAGACCAGCCTGACCAACATGGAGAAACCCGGTCTCTTCTAAAAAAATAAAAAATAAAATTAGCCGAGCATGGTGGCACATGCCTGCAATGCCAGCTACTCGGGAGGCTGAGTTAGGAGAACCACTTGAGCCCGGGAGGCAGAGGTTGTGGTGAGCTGAGATGGCGCCATTGCGCCCTAGCCTAGGCAACAACAGCAAAACTCTGCCATACACACACACATACACACACACACACACTAAATAATAAATAAATAAATAAAATATTGAAGAAATGAATGAATGCTGGTCATTTGTACTGAACCATTCAACACTGTGTACGTCTATTATATGATGCAATATTTTATGTAATCCCGATTTTAGAGAGTGTCCTATAGCCCTCTAGAACTTGCCCCTACGTACCAGAAATAAAAAGGACTCATATATTTTACAATTAATGTTCTAAGCCTTGATTTTTTTTTTTCTTTCTTGAGACAGAGTCTCACTCTCATCCAGGCTGGAGTGCAGTGGTATGATCTCAGCTTGCTGCAACCTCTGCCTCCCGGGTTCAAGCAGTTCTCCTGTCTCAGCCTCCCGAGTAGCTGGGATTACAGGATGACACCATCCCAGCTAATTTTCATATTTTTAGTAGAGATGGGGTTTCACTATGTTGGCCAGGCTGGTATCGAACTCTTGACCTCAAGTGATCTGCCCATCTCGGCCTCCCAAAGTACTGGGATTACAGGTGTGAGCCACCGCTCCTGGCCACCTTGATAACTCTTAATTTAAGATGGGTAGCTTTACCGTGTCCCAGTTGGGAACAAGGGCTACAACTTCATTTCTGGAACCTGGCATAATCCTTGGCACATAGTAGTTGCTCAAAAATTGCTTACTGTGTGTTCTGCCTTAGTGCTATTCTCCCTCTAGTCCCTCCTGCATGCTTCTGCTGAATGGAATCTCCCTAAAGCAGCACCAGGCTCACCCTGATCCTCCCTTCCTCTACCTAAGAACCTTTTCCCAAAGTGTGTTCTGAAAACACTGCCACTCAGGATGCTTGCGAGGAGGCAGGGCACTGGGCTCCCTTAAGTACAGGATATGCTGCACACACTCTCCATAGGCTTGCACCACCTATAGGTTCCAAAGAGTCCTGCACCAGGAAAGCCTCTAATTAACTGCTTAATCCAATGTTTTCCCAATGTGATGGACCACAAAAGCCCTCTTTTCATAAAATCTATTTACTTCCTGTAGAATTAACCTCTGTGCACACACTTTGGGCAAGGTGCTGTCCACTTGGCGGCACATGCTCTTAGTGACTATGCTATGCCAAGAATCAGAAAGAGTGGCCCAGACCCTATCATGGAGGCAGTGAGAGTCCTTGAGGGTTCCCGAGCAGAAGAGCAGCAGGGCAAACAAGAGCCAGAGGCTTCGGGAAGGAGTGGGGGCTGCATGAGAAAAAGAGGGTCTGTCCCTAAGCACCTGCCCACAGCCCAAGGTCCCAGCTGCAGGGGACTCACTGGACCACTTGGTAGTAGCGCTGGAGGAAGAGGGACCAGTCCTTGGGGCTGAGGTACAGCGGGGCCTCCAGGTCCTTGTCGATGTCCATGTGAGCCAGGTTGCTAAGATACTCTTCACACACACACAGAGCTTCATCCACAAACTCTGGGGACACCAACACTTGGTTTTTCTCCTGTTTCTTAGGTTGCTTGTCTCCTGCGCATAGGGAGGGGCCTGTCATGATCCCACATCAAGGCAGGTAATCTGACACATGCCACAGCCCCCATTCTCCTAAGGCCTATCACTTACTTGAGGCACAGCACGAACCTAGATAGATCCCCTACTGCCCTGGGATGTGTCACTTAGCTGAGGCTTTGCTCTAAATTCACTGCAACTCTAGCACCTGCCCTTGGCTCCCACTGTCCCAGGACCTGTCACTCACTTAAGGCTCCACCCTAAGTGTCCCCAAGGCATCTAACAGCACCTATAGCCATGGCACACACCTACAGCCTCTCTGCCCCTGGGACCTCTGACACACCTGAGGCTCTGCCTAAAATGCACCTGGGAGCTTTGGCCTTTGTGAACTCAGTTATACATGAATACCCCTCCCCCAAGTCTGACACAGCTCCTTAAGTCCACACACCAGGAATCGAGACCCATTCCCAGAATCTTGATAAAGAGCTACAACCCTTAGCCCACAGAAACACTGACCTCTGTGTGCACTGCTACTGTACAAGGCCCTGACACACACTTGAAAGTGATTACAGAAACTGACCCTTCAGAAGACCCCATGCACACCCACAAACCTGACTCACCCCTGAACATCACAATGCTCTAAAGATCTTCATATACAGCTGAGGCCCTCAGCCTGACCTATATCATAAAAGCTTAAGCACGGGGTCTCTGGCCACACCCGAGGCCCTTGTAACCCTTATCCTGGCACACAACCAAGCCTTCCTTGTACGTGACACACACAAAAGACAGCAATGGGGAGATCTCCCTCTGGAAGAGACAGGACTGTCTTCCTTCCTGGAGAGCTGCCTCTACTTCCCTGAATCCCTCGCTGATGGGTCCCTGGATTACAGGACTAGGAGCCTGGAGACAGGAGCTAAATCCAGAAAGGGAAAGGCCAGGCAGTGGTTGGCTGGCATGCAGTGATAGTGAGCATTCCACTGTGTCCCCCTCCAATCCCAGCTGTTCCTTATGTTCAGGCCCAAGGTGTCCTCAGGCCATGTGTAAAGCCCGGTTTCACTGCTTCCTTCTCCTCAGAGACCTGAAGCCCTCTCCAGGGTGCTCGGCCACATGCCAGGCCCATGGGAGGGCTGAATGAGGAGTGGATCAACTAACACATAGATGAGAAGACAAGTGTCTAGGTACCTGGGACAGAAAAATGGATGAGTGGATGGACTGGAGGACAGATAGGTAGGGGAGAGGACAATAGAATAGGAGGTAGAGAGATGGGTTGACGGACCTGTGGAAGGACAGGTAGGCAGGGAGCGGATAGCTGGACCGGGAGTATGAAGCTAATGTCAGGTAGGTGAAGAGATTAACAAAGGGTGACAGGTGAGAGGATGGAAGGATGAGTGGAAGGGTGGGTGGGTAAATCGGTAGATCAAAGAGTGGGTGAATAAGTGGGTGGATGGGTGAATGGATGGATGGATACATGGGTGGGTGGATGGATGGATGGGTAGATATGAATCATACACAGATGTGTGGATGAACAAGTAGGTGGGTGGATGAATAGACAGGTGGATGGGCAGATCAGTGGAAGGATGGATGGGTGGAGGATAAATGGGTGGGAGAGTGGAGATAACCACAGTACTTACCTGTGGCTTCTTCCTCTTCTGCCTGTATAGGGTATGACTTCCACTCAGACTTTACCACCAGCTTGAGAACGTTGCGGGCAGCTGTCAGCCAGAAATCTTCTGCTCCCGGGGCATGGGATACCCTGCTCAGCCTCTAGGCTTGAGGCCTGTTCTGGTTCCGGAACCTGATCATGACTTGCCCCATTTTGGATCCGGAACCTGACTCTACCTTTTCTGACTCTAGAGCCTGAGTTTAGAACTTGCTCCTGTTTCAGTTGTGGAACCAAATCCCAAATCTTACCTGACTTGGCTCATATTCTACCTTCGGAATCTGGCCTGGACCCACTGTCTGATTTATTTCATCTGTTCATGATCTATTTTTAATACTTATTCTACCCCGAGAACCAGACTGTGTCCTATTTCAGATTTCGAATGTAATTTAAACCTGGCACAGAATCTGGATCCAAATTCTAACCTGAATTTAGAACATACTGTGGAATTGGAACCTAGTCTGCCTTAGAAACCCAAAGCCTGCTGCCTTTTCTGGAACCCAATTCAACTAGTGGAACTTGACATAAGCCTGGAATCTGTTCTGGATTCCAAACTCAAGGGACTGAGCAACTTTTAGAACCCGCTCTACAATATAAACCATGCTACCTGAGCTTTTCTGGAGGTCAGAGTTGACCAAGCTAAGGGGCTCATTAAGGGAGGGCACATTAGGGAAGGATAAAGATTGAGGGTAGGGAAGGAAGTCTGCTGGGGCAGATGAGGGCATGAAGAGAATCCTGTTGCTCTCCAATATGAGCCAGGTCTTCAGCCCTGCTCCTTCAGCCTCAGGTCCAGGCATGGGGCTGGGGGTCTCCTTACCTATGAAGGCTTTTTTGTCATCCTCAGCCCCCAGGCGGTAGCAGCGTGGGAAGAAGGAGTCGGCATCAGCCTCATCAAACCATGGCAAATTCCGGAGATTGAGACATAGACCCACCTATGGAGTTAGCCGCTGAGGGGGCAGGACAGGACTGCCCACACTCATCACACACCCAGACAGCTCAGAAAGCATCCCACCTGGATGCTCTCAGAGCCTTGGCCCCACTTGCTTGGTCTGACTTGCTCACATCTATCACCATATGTTTGCCTGGGTGGTATCCTTTGCCAAGAATGTCTGACGTCCCTCCTGTCCACCCTTTCACATTCTTAAAAGAGCTGCCAAGGCCAGGTGTGATAGCTCACACCTGTAATCCCAGCACTCTGGGAGGCTGAGGTGGGAGGATTGCCTGAGGCCAGAGGCCAGGAGTTCAAGACCAGCCTGGGCAACATAGCAAGACCCCACCTCTTAAAAATAAAACAAAAAAAGAGCTGCTTCCTCTAGAATCCTTCCTAACCCACATCAATAATATAATGGCAGGTCATTATTATAAAGCCCTTCGTCCTTGCCACAACCCCAGAAGATAGGCCTTACTGGTATTCTCATTGAAAGGTGAGGAAACTGAGACTCAGAGAGGCAAAGTTACTTGCTAAGAAACCCAGGTAAGCTGGGCATGCTGGCTCATGCCTGTAATCCCAGCACTTTGGGAAGCTGAGGGAGGTGGATCACCTGAGGTCATGAGTTTGAGACCAGCCTGGCCAACATGGTGAAAAGCCGTCTCTACTAAAAATACAAAAATCAGCCGGATGTGGTGGCATACACCTGTAGTCACAGCTACTCAGGAGGCTGAGGCAGGAGAATTGCTTGAACCCAGGAGACAGAGGTTGCAGTGGGCCAAGATTGCACCACTGCACTTTTCTCAAAAACAAAATAAAACAAAACAAAAACAAAGAAACCTAGGTAAGACAGAATGGGTCCATTAGCCAGATATCTTCGGCTTAGGAGGTAAGAGCCTACTTGTTCACTATCACTGGATTTGGTAACTGTTCTACCTCCAGACCCATTTGAATGCTGGAGCCCATTTTAGTCACCATGGGCTCTGTCTATACATGCCAGATACCACACAGGGGTTGGATCTGAACCAGTCAGATACTGGTCAGACTCCAAATCTGAATTATATACTTCCTCTTGTACTGAGAACTTCCACTTACTGACAAGGAGAGTGGGAAGCAGGGCTGCCAGCCCAAGGGCAAGGAGTTGGAAGCTGCCCTGCCTGCTCTGGGGAGCCTACCTTTGTGGTAAAGGAGCCAGCCCGGGCGTAGTGGTTTATCATCTGATCCTTAGAGAGGAAGCGATAGTCAAGCACGTCCCGCCGAGTGGTCCAGATGAAGTAGGGGGTCTCATTCCGAACCATGCGAGACTAGAGAGAAGGGGAGGAGATAGAAAGAGACCAGTGTGGGTAGCAGGACCTAAAGCAGCTTCTCCCTGTCCTGCTGAGCAGGGTGGGTGAACAGGAAGGAGAGGATGCAGATGTTTCCAAGGTGGCCTCTAGCCCACACATCATCTTTGTGTAAGGCAAGAAAAGACTTCTCTTCTGCCAGGGCACAGGTGGGCAGAGAGCAGGCCAGCCTTTCAACCTCCTTTTGGTCTTAGGGAGGCCAAAGGCTCCCTTCTGCCTCCCTTTGTCACTGTTTAAGGTGTCCTATGAGGCTTGTCATTCTCAGCCTCCAGGCAGTAGCAGTGTGAGAAGGAGTTAGCATCAGCCTCATCAAACCACAGCAAATTCCGAAGACTGAGACATAGACCTATGTCTCCATAACACCTATGGAGTTAGCCGCTGAGGGGGCAGAGCCCCTAAGGGTGTCCCCAAGCAGTGACAAAACTGCACAGCTTGTTTTGGCCTATGGTCATCAGTGACTTGCCCAGGGACAGGACAAAGTCACACCTTGTTTTGGCACATGGTCATCAGTGACTTGCCCAGGGACAGGACGGTGACTCCAAGCTGATGGGCACACAGCCTGTGACAAAGGCTATCTCATGGACCCCACCTCTCCATCCTTCCTACAACTCTGGGAGGTGGGATAATTATTCATAACCAGTGTCAGCATATGTCTTTCTAAGCACCTTTCATTTGAGTTCATTCAAAGCTCACCACAATTTTGTGTGATAGGGGCTACTGTTATCTCTGTTTCACAGATGAGGAAACCAAGGTATAGGGAGGCAAGTGACTTGCCCAAGGGCTCAGGAGATTGATACATATGAAGTTGCCAATATTCAACCATTCCTGACATAGAGAAATGGCTTTTTTTTTTTTTTTTTTGAGACGGAGTCTGACTCTGTTACCCAGGCTGAAGCGAAGCAGTGTGATTTTGGCTCACTGCAACCTCCGTCTCCTGGGTTCAAGTGATTCTTCTGCCTCAGCTTCCCTAGTAGCTGGGAAGCTACTAGGTGTGCACCACCATGCCCAGCTAATTTTTTTTTTGCATTTTTAGTAGAGATGGGGTTTCACCCTGTTCCCCAGGCTGGTCTTGAACTCCTGACCTCAAATGATCTGCCCACCTTGGCTTCCCAAAGCACTGGGATTACAGGCATGACCTACTGTGCCCAGCCAGAAATGGCAATTTTGTATAATTCAACTTAGTAAGTGGCACTGCCAAGTTGCAAACCTCAACATGCATGTCCTCCACACCATCACAACCGTCTCTTTCAGATTTTGTTTTGTTTTGTTTTGTTGTGGGTTTGTTTTTTTTTTTTTTTTTTTTTTTTTTTTTTTTTTTTTTTTTTTTTTTTGAGATGGAGTCTCACTCTGTTGCCCAGGTTGGAGTGAGTGCAGTGGTGCGATCTTGGCCCACTGCAACTTCCACCTCCCAGGTTCAAGCAAGTCTCCTGTCTCAGCCTCCCGAGTAGCTGGGACTACAGGTGCATGCCACCACCCCCACCTAATTTTTTTTTATTTTTAGTAGAGGCTGTTTTACCAGGTTAGCCAGGATGGTCTTGATCTCCTGACCTTGTGATCTGTCCACCTTGGCCTCCCAAAGTGCTGGGATTACAGGCGTGAGCCACTGTGCCCAGCCATTTTTTTTTTTTAGATGAAGTATCACTTGTTCTGTCACCCAGGCTATGGTACACTAGTGCGATCTCAGCTCACTACAACCTCTGCCTCCCAGGTTCAAGCAATTCTCCTGCCTCAGCCGCCTGAGTAGCTGTGTTTACAGGTGCCCACCAGCACACCTAACTTTTGTATTTTTATTTTTGAGATGGAGTCTCACTCTGTTGCCCAGGCTGGAATGCAGTGGTGCGATCTCTGGTCACTGCAACCTTTGCTACCCAGATTCAAGCAATTCTCCTGCCTCAGCCTCCCAAGTAGCTGGGATTACAGGCATGTGCCACTATACCCAGCTCATTTTTCTATTTTTTTTAGTAGAAATGGGGTTTCACCACGTTGGCCAGGTTAGTCTCGAACTCCTGACCTCAGGAGTTCGAGATGTTCCACCAGCCTCAGCCTCCCAATGTGCTAGGATTATAGGCATGAGCCACTGTACCCGGCCTTTATTTTATTTTTTATTTTTATTTTTTGAGATGGAGTCGCCCTCTGTCACCCAGGCTGGAGTGCAGTGATGCAATCTTGGCTCACTGCAACCTTCGCCTCCCAGATTCACATGATTCTCCTGCCTCAGCCTCCTGAGTAGCTGGGATTACAGGTGCTTGCCACCACACCTGGCTAATTTTTTTGTATTTTTTTTTTTTTTTTTAGTAGAGATGAGGTTTCACCATGTTGGCCAGGCTGGTCTCAAACTCCTGATCTCAGGGATCAGCCCGCCTTGGTCTCCTAAAGTACTGGGATTACAGGCATAAGCCACCCTGCTCAGCCTCTTCCAGAGCTTTTAAAGTCCTTCCTTCCTGCCTTCACTTACTAACAGCAGAAGAAAGGGAACTATGTGGTTTTTATTTGAAGAGTGAGCTACCATACATGGAGGCTGTGCTGGCATCTGATATGACCTAGCAGAGTTCTGAATCCAGGCCAGATGGTTCACAGCAGGGCTGTGTCCCTCCTCACTCTGCAGGCCTAGCCAGCCTTTATTCACTTATTCCTTTTTCTTTTTTTTTTTTTTTTTTTTTTTTC